AGGCCATAAAGAGACTTCTTTAGTTTACAAACCTTTCCTTGCATCTCCTTCCCATACACCCCTGGAGGTAAAGACATATAGACCTCTTCATGTAGGCCCCCATTCAAAAAAGCATTCTTTACATCAAATTGATGAAGAGGTCAATCAAAAGCAGTAGCTAAAGATAGCAAAACTCGAACTGAAGTCATCTTGGCTACTGCGGCAAAAGTTTCTAAGTAGTCAATACCATACATCTGAATATATCCTTTAGCGACCAAACGGGCCTTATATCTCTCAACAATACCATCAAAATGATACTTAATAATGAACACCCACTTACAGCCAACCGGTTCCTTTCCCTCAAGCAAATCCACAATTTTCCAAGTATTGTTCTTATGCAAAGCATCTAGTTCAATCATCATAGCATCCCTCCATTCTGGTTTGGACAAGGCATTTGGGACAGATCTGGGAGTCACATGTGTGGAAACAGAGGCAAGGAAGGAATAGTAGGAAGGGGAAAGAAGGTTGTAGGACAGGTGTTTGGAAATGCAATGACTTGTACATTTCTGTTTGCCTTTGCCAAGGGCAATAGGGAGATCAAGGTCAGGGAAGGTATCCGAAGTGGTAGAAGAGGGCTGACCTATTACCTCAGTAGTGATGGGAGGAACAAGAGGCACATCTTAAGGCGTGAAAACAACTTGCATGTCTCTGAGTCTTTGTCTCTGGTACCACCTCTAGATAATAGGATGGGAAGGAAAAGCAGGGATAGATGACTCGACTAGAGGATACTCTATAGAAGATTCAATGGGAATTAGAAGAGGAACAGATTGTGACAATTCAAATAACTCCTTTGAATGCTCCCCCTTAAGAGAAGTACCAAAGAAAAGAACAGACTCTGCAAATGTGACATCTTTAAAAACAAAGTGAGTGCCACGAACCAGATGAAAACAGCAATACCCCTTCTGTGTGGGGGCATATCCCAAAAAGACACACTTGTGTACTTTAGGCTCAAACTTATGTCTTTGATGGCTGTGAACATGAACATAAAAAGTGCACCCAAACACCCTAAGAGGAAGAGAGAAGAGGTCCTCATTTGGGAAAAGCAAGCTAAAGGGAGTTTTAAACCCCAGAACTCGAGAAGGCATTCGGTTTATCAAGTATGTAGCTGTAAGGACAACATCACCCCAAAACTTAACAGGAACATGGGAAGCAAAAAGTAGGCTCCTCGCAACCTCAACCACATGTCTGTTCTTTCTTTCTGCCACTCCGTTTTGTTGAGGAGTGTAGGAATAGGAACTTTGATGAATAACTCCAAAGGTATCAAAGTAGGAGGAAAGACTCTTCTCAAAATACTCCTTTGCATTATCAGATCGGAATATTTTGATCCGAGTGTTAAACTGGGTACGTATAAGTTCATGAAATTTTTGTACAATATTTGATACTTCATTCCGGGATTTCATAAGGTAAATCCAAGTGTAACGAGAGAAATCATCAATAAGAAGAATGAAATATTTGTAACCCCCCATAGCAGGTAAATGATATGGCCCCCACACATCAGAGTGCACAATATGGAAAGGAGAAACAAATCTTTTATTAATCACTGAAAAAGATTGTCTACAATGTTTTTCAAGTTCACATGACTCACAATGAAGACTCGATAGGGGTATTCCCTTAAACATTTCTAGAAACAACTGAATCAAAGCTAAAAAAGACAAATGACCAAATCTGAAATGACATATCATGACTTTATTAACCGACTCTGATAAAACAGACTTCAAACCTACTCCACTAGGTAATCTAGGACTTTGATCAGAGACATCCAGCAAGTATATCCCATTCGCCTCATGGCCACTCCCAATCGTCCTCTGAGACTTCAGGTCCTGAAAAACACAATAAGTAGGAAAGAAGGTTATGCTACAGTTCATTGATTTTGTTAAACTACTAACAGATAAAAGATTAATGCTAAGTTTGGGAACATGAAGGACAGAGGATAATACAAGTGAGTCAGAGGCTTTAATATTCCCCTTGCCAGAGATGGGAACAAAAGGCCCATCGGCAAGAGAAATCTTCTCTTTACCCGAGAGGAGCTGGTATGAACAAAAAAGGTTGGGTATGCTAGTCATATGGTCTGATGCACCAGAATCTATGATCCAAGGAATTCTACGATTACTTGAGGCTGTAGCATGATTTGCAAAAGCACGAATACCTGAATGGGCAAAAGCGGATGTAGATGGGGTGCCTGAGGAGGAAGATGCAACAGTAGACTCCAAGTGGTTTATCAACTTCCCAAATCTCTCAAATTCTGCCTTCACTGCTGCTAGCTGTTCTACAGCAAATTTTTATTCACATTCA